ACAACAATATATATACACAACGCATCATTTACTCATGAGAACAAACATAACAATGCCAAGCCTAAGGCATTCAAATCAATCTTATAATCCTCACTTTTTTTTACATTCTTTCTCACCAGCACTCAAATAAAACAACAATCTATGAAGTCATGATGAAGTATAAGGAATTTATCTATAGGTTTCCAATTTATTTTAATTTTATATATCCATGAGTCCATATAATAAATATATATAAAAATCCTAAACCTTACATACACATCTAACCAAAATAATTGATATCAATCCACCGTCTACGTTCAAGTACAATATCAAACCATCATCGAATAAATAGTAATAAGCAAATAAAAATAACGAATTAAATAAAGCGAAGGAAGTAGATTTTACACTCACAACATTTTTTAAAAAATAAAAAATTACTTAAACAATTAATGAAGTTACCAAAATAAAATCTCTAACTTTTTTTTTTCTCTCTACCTCACCACTCTCGCCACGCGGTCTCTCCATTTCTCTCGAAAATTCTGCTTTCTCAGAGTGCACCCTCTCTTTTTTGATTAATCTCTCTCTCCCTCTCTCGGTTGGCCGCATTTTTTCTCTTTTTCAATGCGCCTCCTATGATTTAACTTACTTGACTATTATATAATACTAGTATATCACTCGTATTATGCACGAGTTGTGTTTACAATTAATTATATATGTGAATTATGATTTTAAAAAATATATATTTTTTTTACATGTCTTCTTTTTTTTTTTTCTTTTTTTATATTATATTAAAGGTTAATATTTTGATAATAATTACATGTGTTGGACTTTTCAAGGAATTAAATATCTTTTTTTTATTATATTATATTAAAATTTAATATTTTGATAATAATCATATGTGTTGGACTTTTCCAAATTTTTTTTATGCTTGTTCTTAATGCATTAAAGTGTTATTATGAGAGATAATAATCATATGTGTTGGGACTTTTCAAGGAATTCGTATGTGTTGGATTTTAAAGAATTTTTTTTATGTTTGTTCTTAATGCATTAAAGTGTTATTATAAGGATAAGATTTGGGAGTTGAAAGCAGTTAATAAATGCTAAGATTTTTTTTAAATCAAAAAATCAGAAAATTTAGATTGTGAAATTGGAGCTCCCACAAGGCTTGGGGTTAAAAACCTCATTTTGCTTAATATATAGTATAAATTTAATATTTTGATAATAATCATATGTGTTGGATTTTTCAAGGAATTAAATGTCTTTTTTTTAATTATATTATATTAAAGTTTAATATTTTGATAATAATCATATGTATTAGAATTTTCAAGAAATTTTTTTTATGCTTGTTCTTAATGCATTAAAGTGTTATTATGAGGGATAATAATGATATGTGTTGAGACTTTTCAAGGAATTCATATGTGTCGGATTTCAAAGAATTTTTTTTTTATGCTTGTTCTTAATGCATTAAGGTGTCATTATGAAAATAAGACTTAGGGGTTGGGAGAAGTTAATAAATGTTAAAGTTTTTTTTTTTTTTAAAAATCAAAAAATCAGGAAATTCAGATTGGGAGATTGGAACTCCCACAAGGCTTGGGGTTAAAAATCTCATTTTGCTTAATATATAGTATAGATTATATTAATACATAAATATAACATATATAAATATAAATATAAGATCAATATATATATATATAAATATAGAAAAATTAAATATTCAAATTAATTATATATAATTAAATATGACATTAAATTTTCATGTATCCACGTAATTAATAAAGCTAAAATTAAAATAAAGTAATAATAATAAATAATGACTTACGAAAAATCAGGATCGTCGCAAACCCCACTTCAATGCAAGCTATACTCTTTGGAAAATGGTTCTCTCTATAATATAGAGCAAATGAACTAATCATATTTTTTGTTCCAACTCTATTTAGTTTCATTATAATATGACGTTTAGTTCATTACGTATTTGTGTTTAGCTTAATAATGCGCATTTTTTACCTTAAATTATGACATTGAGATGACATATATATTTTTTACTAGGGTAATATTTTGTCCATGTCCATTGTTCTTGTTGGCTTGAAAATCTATGAACTCACATCTCTCTTTCTCTCTTTTCACAGATTTTGTCAATACCAATGGAGTCCAAGTGGATTATATTTCGTCGTTCAGTTATTTGTTCCCCATTCTTGGTTTTGTCTATTGTATCCTTATCATACATTCTAGTTCGTAATGGATTCCATCCTAGTCCAAACTTGATTTCTGGAATTACATGGTTTGACTTTCGTTTTGAACTATTTGTAACCATCAAGACTCTGTGAGATCAAAGCATTTAACCTTGATAGTGAAGTTGGTGAGTCCAAGCTCAACTCGAAGACATTTCTTAGTTCTTGATAAATTTTTATCCTAATTGGCTAATGTATTAGCTACTGTTGGGAAGATTAAAACTGTTATTATGGATGTGAAATTGTTTATTTGAACTCTCAATTTACTTTCAGTAAGGTATTATTAGTTCATTACATGTGTTATTTTGTGGAGATACAACGCCTCGAGCATAGGACTATAGGATGAGGTACTAAGGGTGTCTTTGGTTTGTGTTTTGAGATAAATTTTTTTAAATTTTTTGGTTTGTTTGGTTGTATATTTTGGAGATAGAGTTTAGAATTTTTTTTGGTTTGTTTGGTTGTATATTTTGAACATAGTTTTGGAGTTTGGGAGTTTGAGAGTTTGGGATGATTTGATATTTTATTATAGTTGAGTATATGTATGTGAGAGAAAAAGTGACTGAGAAAGAGAGAGGAGAGAGAAAAAATGATTGATTGATGTGTAGGAAAAATGAAGTGATTTTGCAAATTTTTTTCGAAAAATTTAAACCAAACAAAATTTTATAAATTTTTCTTAAAGTTTGTATTTTGAGAAATAAACCAAACAAACCATTACTTCTTATGGTATAAATAAAAGAGAGCAGAGAGATATGGGAAAGAGAGTTGAAACAATCTTTTGTGTAAAATAAATAAATTGAAACAAATCAAATAAATAAAAATAAATTATTTATAGAATTTATTTTATCGAACCGAATAAATAATTTAAAAGATCAATTCGAGTGTGTGACATTCTATCCTTAAGACAGATTCGCCCCGCTACGGTGCTTACGGATAAAAAGCGTTTATCTCCCAGGATGCAATGTGTTACCCAAAAGACAACCTAAGAGGGGGGGGATGAATTAGATTTTTATAATTAAAATTAATAATATCCTAATAAAAATTATGATTAGCACAATAGATAAATATAATTAATGAAATAAAAATAATTAAAATAAGTGTTTTAACAACTATGTCAGTTAATGATTTTAGCACAATAAAAATGTAAAATATAGTTATGACAATTTAAAATAAAATAAAGAGACAAGGGAGAGAGAGGCAAACAGATTTATAGTGGTTCGGTTTCAACTCGGCCTACATCCACTCCTCAAGTTTCACTTGAGATTTTCCACTATCTTCTACCTTTACAGGGGTGCTAGCAACCTCTTTACAAATGGAGCAATCCTCCACGGATTTTACACAGACTTCACAAGTCCAAACCCTTATAAATCTTAGGTGATTCATAATCACTCTCAAGATTTCAAGAGTACAGTATTTGCGACACTTTTACAAGATGAAATGGTATTTTTACTTTCAAAGAAAGCTTACAATAAATATCTCTCAAAGATAGATATATAAAATGAAGCTTTAATTTTTCTGTAAATCTCACACAGGAAAGATGTGCTTAAAGCTATAAGGCTCAGTGTATAATTTCTGAGAATAGATATGAGTGATTATAGATCAAAGAATATTTTCAGATTTTTTGTAACTTGTTTACATTAGAGATTTTAGTATATATAATGAAAATTATAGCCGTTTATAACTGTTGTAATCATTTGAATTTATAGCCGTTGTATTTCCCTTATTACTAATTTGAATATCTTCCACTCCATCATTACAAATTTGAATATCTTCTACTTGAACCTTTTGCACCTTTTGGCATTTTGAACCTTTATAGCCATTTATAGTCGTTGTACTTCCATCATTACTAAGTTAAATATCTTCCACTTGAACCTTTTAAACCTTTTGGCCTGTGACTGTGCTAGGCTGTTTGAACTTTTATTTTGGACTGTTTGAACTCTTGATTTAATCAAATATTAAATACATTCTAACAACATTTAGGATAAAGATTTAGGTGAGAAATAATGGGACAAAATAAATTTTGATTCTATTTTTCTTTTTCAAATAAATTATATAAATAAATTTTGATTCTATTTTTCTCTTTCAAATAAATCATCAAAATAAATTTTGATTAAAATATAATTAAATAAATTATCAAAATAAATTTTAGATTCTATTTTTCTCTTTCAAATAAATTAAAACATAATTAAATAAATCATCAAAATAAATAAGTGTAACAATCTCTCCATTTTTTATGATGGCACAGAATGATGTTTTGATTTGATTTAGGAGTAAGAAAAGCTCCCCTTCAAGTCATACTCCCTGAATGCATTTCTAAATACATAGGTTAGCACGTGTGTAAATAGAGATATGATATGAGACTAAGATATCAAACTATAAATACATAATTATCAGATTAGTTTTCAAATAATACCATAATATATAACATCATATAATTTCTCCCATTGTGACATTATCAAAAGGAAATCATGGGTCAAAATCTAAAAGCGGAGGAGGAAAATGATAGTAATAAATGGCATCAAAAATATATATATAGCAAATATATATATATATATCAATCAACGGTCAATCAACACACACACACATATATATATATATCTATATAATAAGGCACAAAGCTTTTTGAAAAATGTATCAAAATGTATATGAGATACATTTTGATCCAAGGGCTAAGATCAATGCCAAATATATATCAATGGTTGGGATGCGTTTGATTCCCGCCCAAACACGCTCTGCTCTCTCTCCCACGCCTACCAAACACGCCTGCCTCTACCCAAACGTTATCCTCAACTCCCTCTCCCTCTCCCTACTGTGCTTCACAACCGATCTGAGATCAGATAGCATTGCTGAAGGAGGTCATCAATGGCTGAGATGTGTTCGATCTAGGGCTTGATCTGATCGATCTTGTAGAGATTCGGAAGGAGGTCGAGATCTGGCGTTCAGATCTGGCGTTCCGATCACATGGCCCATCGGATTGACGGAAAAAAAAAAATTTAGAAATTTCGACTTCTTTGGTTATTGATTTGTTGATTTTGCAGACTTCTTCCTCCTGAAGTGCTTCTGTGGTTCTGTGGTTCTACTTCTTCCCAAATTTCTGCTTCTGTGGTATCTGCTTCTGTGGTTCTGTGGTTCTACCTCCTTAAGTGCCCAAACTTTTTCCCAAGAATCGCCTTCTCTCTGAAGTAAGTAATTAGGGTTTAAAGAAAATGGAGTGGAATTTGGAGACATGTTTTCAGACATGTTTTCTTTGCAGACATGTTTTCTTTGATTTTGGTTTTGAATAGAAATTTCGCCTTCTCTCTGTGTTGTCATTAGGTATATGAGATAAAATTCACATTCAAACTGGTATATTTTGATTTTGGTTTTATTTAAAATGAGTACCTAATTAAAGTGGAATTGATAAACTGGTCCGACTCTGGTTTTGGTTTTGAAGATAATGGAATTGTTGAAATTGGTCCTATTCCCAATTACGGTTCCGAACCTAATTAAAGTGGAATTGATAAAATTTGAGTACTCAAACTTATCAATGTACTCAAACTTATCAATGTTCAAAACCAAATTACGGTTCAAAACCAAAATCAAATTTGAGTACACCTTTGCAGACATGTTTTTTCACATTGATAAGTTTATCAATTCCACTTCAATGTGATAAAAATTCAAATTTGAGTACACCTTGATTTTGGTTTTATTTAAAATTCACATTCCAGTAGATCAGTTTATGAGAAAATTTGATCAGTTTATCAGTTTAAAGAAAACAAAACACTTTTGATGGTATCATATATTTGATTTTGTGCGTTTGGGGTGCAGCAGAGCTCTTCAGGAGGCCTCTGAACTATCAGCAGCAGCAGGAGAATGGTGGTTTTTCTTAGGGGTGTGGGAGTGAGTGTTTAGAGAGATGGGAAATTGGGTTTAAAGATTCAATCCCTCCTTCAAAACCCACCTTCAAATTCAAACTTTCGATTCCCTCTCCCTTTAGATCCGTAGCGTTCCACTCCAATCCCACCCCAAATTCCGAATTCTTGCCGAAGAAAACCCCTGTTTCGCCTCTCTCTCTCTCTCTCTCTCTCTCGCATTCGGTGTTTCTCTGCTTCTGTTACTTTCTCGGAGTCGTGTGAACAGGTATGTTCTGTTTCTCTGCTTCTGTTTCGCCACCTTTTCTTGAATTTCTAAATTCTAGGGCTTATTTGGTTTCTGTTTTAGTCAACCAACACTCACCCCCTCAAGAATTCGAGTTTCTTTTTCAGTATGTGTACTTTTCTGATAATTGAAAGGTAAATTGGGTTTTTTTAGGATAGCGAGTATGATTTTATTTTATTTTATTTTTTAGTTGTAAAACTTTTCTTTTTTTTCTTTTTTTTTAATTTGCTGCTCATTTATTGCTGTCAAACTAAATCCGTGAATTTGAGAGGCCCATTGAACTTTGTGGCTCATCGCATTCAACATTCCCTTCAAAATTTTGTGTCAGACCCCTTGAAGAATCACATTAATACAAAACTCTCTCTCTCTCTCTCTCTCATACCCTCAATCTTTATTGTTTTCATCTTCAGTAATATCATAGCTTCATTCAATTGAAATGTGTGAAGAGAATAGTCCAAGTACAAATTAGAACAAGAGACACTCTATGAATTGAAGTTTATGGGTTCTTCTGGGTCTACAATTCAATATGAATACTAGGTTATACAACATTTTTGCTTCTGGGTACTGAATAGTGAAGACCGAATTTGCTTTGATGGGTGTTCTTCTAATGAATTTGGTTTTTTTTTTTTTTTTTTAATATCAGCTGCTTATGACAAGGAAGGTTTCGACTAAATTTAGACGTTTTAGGCATTTTAATCGGATGTGTTTTGCTTATTTTTGAAGTAACTGGGTTTGATTTCTATTTGTTGCTCGAAATTGTCAAGTGGGAAATTTAGGGGAAATTTATGTTCTTCTCGGATTCTCTTACCTTTTCGGGAAGAAAGCGGGGATGAAGAGCTTTCTGTTCTTCCTAGGCACACCAAAGTTATTGTAACAGGAAACAACAGAACAACAGAACAAGGTGTCGTCAAGAAGGCTGTTGGTCTTGGTGGTTGGCATTGGCTGGTAATTTTCTTTTTTACCTTTACACCACTTTATCCTCTACTCATTTGACTTTAATCATATCATTGCTATTTTAAATTCTTTTGCCAAGTCACATTATTGTTATCTTTCTAGCTTTTTCAATTTCTAAGGCCTGTGGTGCTCTCTTGCCAGGTGCGATTCCTGAGTTTGAGCTCCTATTTCCCTTCTATTGAATGTAAAGAAATAGAAGTGAAAATCATCCAAATTTAAAATTTTGTTTTCTCACTAAACATCTGTATTATCAAACATATATCTATATAATAAGGGAATAGGGTTTTTGGTGTTCTGTTTGTGCATTCTTATCCCAATTTTTATTTATTTATTTTTTTATGTAGCTTATGGGTTTGGATTTAATTTTTTAAAAAATTTTGGGTCTGAAATGTATCATGATTGGCAATGAGCTTTTATTTTGTTCACTTATTCTTTATTCTTTATTTTTATTTTTCCACAAATTTAATATCCCAATACAACATCAAGGAACCGGCAAGGACTGCTAAATATGTAGCTGAAGTGTTATTTGGGGTTAGACCCAAATGTTTCTCTGCTGAATGGAACCATTAAGAGCACTACAATTTATATATAGAAAAATTAATGTGGTTTAAATTCATTATGGTTGTAGTCTTCACATTACCTAGAATCAATTTGCATATTGATTTTGTATGCATGTTTTTCTGATTTTTATGCATACATGGAATTACTGTCGTATTTAATTTAGTTTTGGGATCTTTCCAATTATATAACTCTCCATAAGAAAATGATGTTTTATTTTAGATATTTAAATTTATTATTAGCAACATTGTTTGAGATCTTCCTAATGTCAGCTACTTCATACGTTAAAAAATACTAAGAAAAATAATATATAGATCAAGAATTCAAACACAAAACAAATGTTAATAAAGTAATGTATGTTTTAAATTCACTTCACATGTGAATTCGACTGTAACCGAGTTAAACCACACACTATTTTTTTAATTTTTTAATTTAATATTCTAATTTTTTTAAATTCACTTCACGGGTACACGACTGTAACCGAGTTAAATTCACTCCCCTTATTTTATTTTATTTTTTTTTGATATACTATTTAAGGCTATATTTGTTTGGGTATACTACATAATTTCTCTTAAGTAGTTTTATGAAAAATCATCTAACCTTTGTAGGTCGATTGATTGATCCTGAACATTTTTGGCTATTTGATCACAACTTTGAGACACTTTTCATAAAACATTTTTATGATCGTTAACATTTTTGCAACACATAGACTGTAATATAAGAATTTTATTAGATAGTGCCTTCAGGCACGGGCAATCTCTGTTATTTTTTAAAAAGGTGTTATTTTTAAAATGAAACTGGTATTTGATGAATCTTTTTTCTCTTTGTTTCACTTTTTCAGGTTGGTGATGATATACGAATGATGATCCAAGTTAGGTTTTTTTTCCAATCAATTTGTTTCGTATGAATAAAAATTTCAGCATCGACAACCACCCTCCCTTCGAACTCGCACTCGCACTCGCAAGGTTCGATTTCTGCCTCTCCCCTTTCATAGATCAGTTTATTACTTCTTTTAATTAATTTCAATAAATTTCTTGATTTCTAATTTCGTAGATCAATTTATTGCATTCCAGTAGATCAATTTATGGCTATGTCTGGTTTGTCTATATGGTTGCAACACCACCACCGCTGCTCATCATCACCACTGCCGCTGTTGATGCAAAACCCACTTCATGCTCAAACATAATGTGTTCAAGGAAAGCTTCAAGTAAAATTCTTCAATACTTTGAAATAGACCACAGCTCTATTCATACTTTTCTTATTTTTTTATTTCTCAATCAATAAGTAACTAATTATAAATACGAAAAATATTTATATTATCAAACAAATCACTAACTCATACTTTTGTACAGTATTATTACTATTTTTTTAAATAAGTTTTAAACATCCAATACAGACTCAACACAATGTATGCTACAACACTATGGATTGGGAATCAGATCACAGTGAACATTTTGAGTTGTGTATTGTATGTGTCTGTTTGAACCTACATGGAAGGAAGCACATGCGAATTTGGGACAGTGACTGCATACCCTTTCTCTTTCTTTTGATTTTTTAAGTATCTACTGTATTGTTCTGCATACTAATTTTGTAATTAAGTTCTGATGTCAAACTTAAACATTTCAATTGACTTAAACCCACTTCATATTGTATTGTTTTGCATGCTACATCCTTTCAATTTTCTCCCACAAAAGCACCCTGTCACAATTTTATATATATATTTTAATCTTAATGTATGTATTCCTTGCCTTCTATAGCTCCTACAGTATTACCTACACTTCCTTCACTGGGACAAACTTCATATATTATACCAAGGGATTGTTGATAGTGTATTATTTGCTTCTTTTGACAGTGGCATATATTCTTCAACCTTGAATAGATTTAATTTTTTGAATTGGATATTTTGATGGCTTTACTAGAAATGTATCAATGTGCTCTATCTTCATTTATTTATTTTTTTGAATTAATGATTGAAGACTGAATAGTGATCTTTGAAACATAAACTTGACACGCAGACCTGGCCATAATGAAAATGAAGATGTTCACTCAGTGAGGAAATCTACAGCAGGTCCGCATTTGAATATGAGAAATATGGGATTTGTTACGCTACACTAGATGTAAATTATAGTATTTATGGTGCATATATGGTGGTGAAAATCCATTAGAAAAGGAGATTGTAAACTTAAGACCAGGGAAAGCTTCGAGTAACTCACTTAGAGATCAATTAAAATTTGTTATTTAAAATATTAACATATAGTTCTGGGAAAGCTACTGAAGATTAAAGTTGGTTTTGTTGGTTGTTGTTTATGTTGGTTGTTGATTTACTTGATAGATAGTATAAATTTGTTTTGTTTTTTTGTTTTTGTTTTGTGGCATAAATTTATGTTTGGACTTTCTAAATAATAAATGGTGAACTTCAAAATACTTATGATTATAACGAATTTTGATTTTGGTTTTAATTTGAATTGGATACTTTGATGATGGTTATACTAGAAATGTATCAATGTGCTCAATCTTCGTTTATTTATTTTTCTTAATTAATGATTGAAGACTGGATAGTCATCTTTTAAACATAAACTTGACATGCAGATCTGGCCATAGAGCAAATGAAGATATTCACTTGATAGTGAGGAAATCTACAGCAGGTCTGCATTTGAATATTCTGTTGGGCTGTGTGTTTTTTTTATTATTGCGATTTCTGATACTGTTTGGTTAATTTTAGGTTTTTTTTTTTTGAGTTCATCGTGTCCTACCTCTCTCTCTCTTTCTGACGGGATGTGTCTATTTTTTAATTGTATCTACATATGAATAATTGCGATTTCTGATGTTGTTTGGTTAATTTTAGTGGTTTTTTTGAGTTCGTTGTGAAATTCGATTATATTTGATTGGATGTTATTGTTGTTGTTTATATTCATGTTATTGTGTGTACGAATTTTTTCCCGGAAAAAAGTACCCATAAAGTGCCTTCAATTTATAAATGTGGTTTCACACAATCACAGCACATTCGATCTTCCTTACCATTGCCAGACTTGGCTTGGAGAATGAGATTCAATTATTATGGTGTTACCCTCCCTCCGAAATTTCGACAATTTTTATTTTATTTTTAACAGGAAATTTCAACATTGTCGACGAAGCATCATTGTATCAGTGAAGTTTCAGTTCAGTTCTTATCCTCGAGACAGTAAGTCTTCGCTCTCAGTTTTTGGATTTGATACATTGATTTCAATAAATTTCTTGATTTCTAATTTATCTTATTTGAAATATTGCATTCCAGTATAAAAATTGTTAATTTCTGTGTTTGATATTAAAGATTTAGATTTTGTAACAATTTTATCTGATGTAAAAATGTGAAACAACACAATTTCATTAAGGAAACAAGTCACCAATTCCTTTGTTGTTTTTCAGCTATGTTAACTCACAATTTCATTATTCTTTTTTGTTTTCCTCAAAGATGTTTGGTTCATAGAATTGTACAGCATTTGAGGATAACAGAGTATTTAACAATTCTTCCAAATTTGAGTTTGAATTCCCAAACGAGGCACAACTCTTGATAAAACAATGTAACCAAGAACAATAAAATGGCTGCATCATCCACAAAATAAAAATTCAATGATATGATCAATTTTTTTTACAACAATGATTCATCCCACTAAAAACATCACCACTAATAGCACTAATGCATTAAAAAAATAAAAAAATAATAAAAAAATACAACTCCAAGACCAAAACATCACATCATTAATGGCGGGACCCACTGCCACCTAATTAGTGGGAGCACTAATTAGTGCTCCCAAGCATTTTTCTTTTTTTTAATATGATATCACCGTGATATTAAATTTTTTTTTAACGTCCAATGCCCATTTACAAACGAGTAATAGTGTGATAAGTAAATTTGTTTATCTTATCATCATCTTTACATTAGTGGAATGGATCCCAATCATTAATTCAATTTGTTTTTATGGGATGATTGATAGTGGTATCATGGCTCAACACAATCCATATGTTGCACATATTGTTTTATAGTTTGGCAACTTAATTTCAATAGGACTTCTAATATAATATATCCTTTTAGTCATGGGGGAACCAAAATTTAAAGCTTAAATAATAAAAAAAAAAAACTATCCATGCATTCTTTTTTAATTGAATTGTCATTTGTGCTTCTATTTTATTGCACTTTTCATCAGGTTTATTTAAGAAAATTAATTCCATGATTGTATCCATAAATCCTATATCACATCTCTCTTGCTTGCTTTGTATCTTCAAGTGATTAACAGGTTTCTTGATTTCTTCAGTGCAATGGTATTTTAAAGTGCGTAGGTTTCTTGATTTCAAATTTAAAACTCTCTCTCTCTCTTTTCTCTCTCTCAGCTTTTGTTGTTTCCTTCTTTCCCCCATCAGAGCTCACTCCGATAAGTTATTTCTCTCAGATTTTGTTGTTTCACTCCTCTCCTTCTTTCTCTTTCAGCTTTTGTTGCCCTCCGTGAAATTTATAATTTTAAAGTTGCCCTTTTGTTCTCTATTTTGTTTAAAATATGTAGAAATTCAAACATGTCTACAACTCCAGATATTGATTATTCTTTGTTTTTCCTTTTCCCCTCCCGTTTCTGCCTCTGCTACATTAATTTTGTTTCCTAGCTCTTTGATTTACACATTATGATGAGAAGGTAGACCAATGTAGCTCTTTTTTATTTTTTAGATAACTAAATGAAGAGTTATGTTCGAAATCAAAAGTACAGCGCTGATAGGAAGTTGACTGACTGGAATACAGGGAGAAACTAAGCCTGGGCGCAAAACACTTCTCCTGATGATGGTTTATCAGTCAGACTTATGCCACTGGGACACCCAAGTATGTGTTCCATCAGTGCAATGGTATTTTAAAGTGCGTAAGTTTCTTCATTTTTCATTCAAAAATTTTAAATATGATTCAAACTCCAAGGTTTATTTGGTAGCACATTGTTGTTCATTGTTGGTTTTCAAATAATTTCTTCTTCCATGTGTTTGTTTTTTTTATTTTTATTTTTTATTTATTGAGTTGGCCTTCCATGTGTTTTGTATTAGCCACAACTGGTTGCATATGTAATGCTTGATGAAAAGGTTCAGTTAGAAGGATCATTTGCTTACATATGTATTATCATGTGCAACGTCTCATATTTGGAACTCTAGAACCTTTGTACACTTGAGAAAAGTCTAATATCTATATTCAAACATATTATTGTGATTTGTGAATAAGGTACTGCAAGTCCAAGGAAAAATCAAACACTGAATTTTCATTATTGATGAGTTCGTTTTTTTAACTTTTACATTTGATTCATTGTTTCCAGATTTATTGATGTTCATTTAGGTAATTTTTTGTGTAGTTAGTTCAGTTTATAGTTGTAGCAAATTTTGAAAATATTTCTCTTATATTTGGTTAGAATGGTTTAGATAATTCCAACTAAAAAGTGAAGCGTTGAGATTTTTTTCACTCTCTCACTATTTCCATTTCTCTCTTCTTTCTCACCATACCTCTTCTATCTTCTATTGACTCTTTCTCTTCTTTTCCTACACCTACAACACTGTTGTTCACCCCTAAGCCATCACCGACTCTGTTCGCCTCACATGTGCCTCCTCCGCATCCCCTTCATTCCCTGCTAATGATGTCGCCACCAGTGGCAATGGATGCCTCCCAAACCTTTTTTTTTTTTTTTTTAATCTTTTTCCCATTTGTATCCTTTTTCCCATTTGTTTTCTTTACACCATGCTTTTAGGTACGGGCATACACTAAATTTTCTTTACACCGTGCCTCCCAAACAATGTATGATGCTAAATTTTCTTTAGGGAATTGACCCACAATGCCTAAAATATTGTTCTGTTGCTATACATGGTGTAATTGGTATTGTTTATGCATTTGTATTTGTTGTATAGGTACTTTAACTCATTGCAGAGTGAATGTTTTTCTGCCTGTTTCCAATCTGATGTAAATATGGTCATTTCAGCACCAACGGGAAGTGGAAAAACAATATTTTTTGAGCTTTGCATTTTGAGACTGCTCTCAAGGTTCATCTCTACAGAGGGGAGATTTATTCACTTAAAGCGAATGCTTAAAACAGTAGGCTTTCTACAATTTTGTATATGAAAATTTTTTAGATGTTTATTTAAACACTGAAAAGTGTAGAAGATTATTGATTTCACACCTACAGATGTTCTTTATTTCATTAACTTTGTATTGTTGGTTGGTTTTGGGAATAAACTCCTCATGTTGTGGAAGGAATTTTGTTATTATTTGATTTATATACAGATATATAATATATTTTTAGGGTCTATTATACCTTATTGTCTGACTGATGAGGTCTATTATAATTGTTAAATCCATAATTGCTTCAACAGTTGAAATCTTTTCCTGTATGCGTTCACATTTATCAGTGATTAGAAAAGGGATGTACCTTACAAAACATTTACAGTAGTATTTAGTCCTTACATAGGTGTTTCCATGATTTTATATATCTGTTGTGTTACATAAGGTTTGAACAAAATATATATGGTCTCTCTGCACCATTAGTAAGTTGTTGTACTTGATTTTTTCTTATTTTCATGTGGTGTAGATTGTGCTGAGAATACATTTTTTAAAATCTCATGTGACCATGTAGGCAAGTTAAATTTTTTTTTTCCCCCCTATATTTTTTCTCATGTAGTTTTGGGTTTATAATTTGCGAAGAACTATTACAATGTTGAGTTGTGGCAATAGCACTAGCAAGTGTGCATTGCTTGGTGTTTAAAATTAATTTTTTTTTAAATTACAAAGTATTGGTTGGTGTGTATTTCAATTTTAATTTTTTTATAGATTATAGAGCACTGGCTGGCATGCATTGTTTGATATTCAATTTTAATTTGATTTTTTTTTTTGTAATTGTCAAGCATTGGTTGTGCATTGTTTGGTGTAATTTTTTTTGGATTATTGTGTTAACAAATGTACAATATCTTTGGTTTGTGCGTTTTATTTTGTATCTATAAATTTCTTTTTTTTTTGACTTGCTTGGTAAGGATGCTTTTATTTTTAATTTTTGTGTTGATATGAAGTTTATGCTTTAGAGTCATAAAGTTTGTTAATAAAATCAAAATGTTTATGATTGAGTTACTTGACGTACTTTAAATAGTTGATTAGGAAATGTTTATTTTCAAGTTTTAAAAAAAAAAAAGAATTTTTCAAAATTAATCACACCTTGATTTATATTTTGACTTCAATTTTTTAGCAACAAATAGAATAAATTATATTTTAACCCAACAATTTTATATTTAATTACATTTTGATTTTATCATTATTTGCACCGTGCCTTTAGGCACGGGCATACACTAGTATATATATATATATATATTACATAGCTATACAATATATAGACAGATATGCATACGCATACAACTCTCCCGCATCTCTCTCGTTTTTGGCAAAACGCGTTTGACACACGGCCTCACTTTTGCGTCATTGGCCGACAAAAGCAGGCTTCTCGATTGTCGCTTGCCTCGGCTATCTCTCATTCCTTGTCTTCTTCTCTTCAGCCTTCTTCTTAATCACACTCGTCTGCGTCTTCTTCTTCACCTCACTCTCTTCTATCTCTTCTGCAGCACTCTCTTTTGTTTCTTCTTCCTCATCGAGAGACAAAGAAACT